ATTCTTATCTACATCAGTTTATCATCAGATTATACTATTTGTGTATACATGTATTTATAATCTAGTTGCAAATCATTGAAGTCACGTGACTAATGACATATAGGCATTTATACCATCTTTCTGTAAACCTAACCCTGTGCTCACATTGATTGTGAAATTTCAACAATATTTGTAAGTTAACTAATGTGCACTTGAAATTATTAACAATATTAGACAATTATATTTAATCATAAAATAAAGCTAAGTAATGTTTGCGGAAATTACCTGTATACAAATCCACTGACCCTGACCAAGTAGAACCCCTCAATCAAGCCCAGTGATTCATCATGGACTCAGAGGGCAATGTCAATGTCAGCTCATAATATTATCTGGAATGCACTTTGACATAGAGCTGGCTTCATGATGAACGATCATGTCATCTAATGCATAACCAGGCATTTTGTTTTCAAATTTTGCAAACAATTAGTAATAACAAACATGCAGTTACTGGTACTGCATGTATACAAAGTGAATCATTTATAAATGTTACAATATGATTCACGAAATAAGATGTTATTTATGATTGTTAAAAAATAAGAAGTGACATAAGAAGCGAGTCGCACTTAACAGATCAGCAATTTATAGCCGAGTCATAGCTTGAACTTCACATGAAAATCATATTGACTGATATTGGAAAGAGTTGACTAAAATAACTTCAGTATATTTTCTAACAATTAGTTTTAATGCTTTTATAGACAATTTTCTGTGTACAACATCATACGTGTTTGGTTTTCTCAACAAATCATTCTTTTCATCAGAAACAAATGCAAAACTCTAAACAACAATAAATCACCAATCCAATTAACAGTTCAACAAAATACTCCTACCTGAGTCAATTCATGCTGTGACTACCCTATGGAGATAGCACATCACAAATTGCCTTCTTCATTTGGACAAAAAGTGTCGTCACAACCTGGCGTCAGTTTACGTTGACATGTAATCAATCATAAATCATCCGCTTCTGTGTTTTAGGCCCTTACCTGCGGCTAGAACTTAACCCAATCACTGAAGCATCCTAGGTGTGACATATTTATTTTCCCATTTTGCTATGGAAACACTTTGAAGTGTTAAGGCCTGGCCTATGATCAACCAAGCATGGGTACCCGAGACCTTGCGGCTCGTCCCGTAGTTAACCTTAATTAACACCTGCCTCAGTAATTGACCTCAAAGGCAACTGATGCATGAACTACTAAGCAAATAACGTCCTGAAACTTAATGGATGACATGTTTTAGTAATTATCTCTTGAATTTTCAAAGCGACGTCTCTTCTGTCAACAAACTATTCAATACATTTTAACATCTACTTGTTTCAGAAACTGTTGAAAACATATGTATGTATACATAATGGTAGTCAAATTAAAGGTCAATGGTCATTCAAAGCTAGTGGTTCAAAAAAAAAAAAAAAAGTTGTTTATAGAGAATAAATTCAACGTAAAATTATCATTAGGTGCAAATGAATCTGACGACTGAGTAACTTATTTGCTTTCTCACTCTCATGCTATATAACACCAGAATGTCACTGCAAAACAAACATCCAATAACAACAGCCCAAAGAGATATCCCACAATTCACTGATCAAACGTTCAATTTGAGACAAATGTGTGTAAGGTACAAGGAATGAAAGGACAACTATTGTAGAGTGACGCTATAACACATGCATACTCACTGCCCTTCCCAAATCGGACGCTACGTTGCCTGCACGTGTCTACACCCTATCTGACTCATGGAAGCCTTGTTAAATATCAAAGGATTTACACCGGACAAAAAGGTGTGTTAATTTAACGCTTTACTTGTTGTATATGACCATACATACCAACAATAAATGTAAACCTTTGTGGTACTGAATGATTTGAAGGAATTTTGATACTTTTGATCAAGAAATTGACGAGTTAATTTTTAGACCTCAACATGTTTCCTCGGTAGACAGGTGGATCTTTCCTGCATGTTTGCTCTCAGGTATTTAAATAGGCCTTGGCAGGTTCAGTTGGGTAAAATGACATTTTGTTCAAACAGGAATTATTAAGTGAGACTTTTTAAAAATTCTAATCTGAAAATTAATACTATAATTTGAAGCAAACTTTGGGCTAAATGTCGGCCTATGAGCAGGTCTAAATACTTGTTACTCCATGACATAACAAAATTTGCAAGACAACATTGTAAATAGGTTGATGTCATATTGCCCTACTTCAGAAGACAAGAAGTATTTGTCAAGCGATCACTCTCATTAAAACCATTTGATATTGTTAAGTAAAAATCAACCAAGAAATTAGTTAAATGTTTCTCAAAGAATTAAAACTTTCAATTTCTCACAAAAATATTTTCTTGGGGTAAACAGATCAGATATTGTATGTCCAACACAAGTTCAATGGACAGCTATAATATTTGTAACAAATAATACAAATGAAGATATTTAACACATCGATGCGTAGACACACTGCCATGAAATTCAGTTCAGCATTTACAGGATTTTCCATTTGTACTTTGTAGCATCTGAGTAATCATAACCCTGATTCTGGACAATACAAATGGCTGCCAAAATGTCAGCTACCGAATTCAATCAGTATAATCTGTCTGTACAAATGAATTTGAGAAATCAACAATGGTTCCACTGTTTATTAGCAGATTGTGCCGATATTTGTCACCTAGGTGTCTGTTTTCTCGGCTAATTCCTTTCAGCCTAAAATCCACAAAACGATTTGCTTTAGACCCATCCTAACTCTTTGGTTCAGAAGTCAAAATATACCTGCTTTGCACAACTTGCTGCTGAGATGGCACGATCCAGTGTTTGCGAAACAACAAGCAATTCAACATTTTTAGACGGATGTGTATTTTTCACTTAAATCAGATCAGGTGATTTTTCTTTTTGACATGCATGGCTATAGCTTTTCATGTCCAGTAATGAAAGAGGAGAAAAAGGAAGAGCCACCAATCAATGTGAGGATGGCAATTTTGAATTTGAACTTGAACTTGTGCCTTTGAAAATACTTTTTTACGGTATTAACTTCAAGGAATATCCAATTGGTTAAAAACAAACAAACAAGATTACGAGTATTGAACTTGTTCTACTTCTATGTTGACATTTCAATGTAGCTAAACATCAGTAACAACAGAAGCCATTGGCTGTTGTAAAGACAGAGGCAGATGGAAGATGTATGATACTCCATGAATACAACATGGCTATTGTGCACAAGCAAACTATCAAATTATCAAATTGATTCATACGAAATGAAGCATATAGAAACTGATTGGATTGCATTCAGGTTTCATAAGATATACTGGGCACTACAGAATGGCATGGCTGTATCACAAACCCTGGTTTTAATCAAGCTTGGACAAACCAAAACCAGTGGTTGATAACATGAGCAGAGATCCATGTCACATGACACACTATACAACACATATGGTCTGCCTTTGAGAGAATAAAAAAACAGGAATCCAACTCAAATCTTGTGTACCTTGGTTCTAGAAAATGTGCAATGTTCTAGGTTCCATTTGGATTGTATTTTGTATTCTGTTCAACCAAATTAACCAATCATATTGATGGGCTACTTAGCACAAACAAAGCTGAAGCAATAAAACAGGCACACCATCCTGGAAAAATTACATTAAAAATCTAACTGATTTACAAGTAAAAGCTATCCAACGGAGGATTAAACTTGTATCTTGGTTGCCACATCAAAACCAAATCTGAACCATGTATATATATATATCTTTCAAATCTGAACCATGTCAATATATGACAAATCTGAACCATGTCAATACCGACAAATCTGAACCATGTATATATATATATCTGAACCATATATTCAAATCTGAACCATGTCAATATACAAATCAAATGTCAAAATCTGAACCATGTCATATGAATATCGAAATCTGAACCATGTCAATATGACAAATCTGAACCATGTCAATATAAGACAAATCTGAACCATGTCAATACATGACAAATCTGAACCATGTGACATAAAGTATTTGTTTATTTGTCTATTTCTGGCTTACTTCAAGGCAACTGCACTTAATGAGACAGAGTATCATGTTTGTTTCCTGAGAAAGTCATAAAAAGTTTCATTCCTCTAGCTCATAAAATCTGCAACAAGCAAATATACCAAAGCAGGGGTCCGTGTTTGATGACACAACAGCTTGATAGGCTTCACTAACTACCGGTACACTGAACTGCCTTAATAATTCATCCACTGAACACTTAACTGTAATTACTTTCCAGCTTAACAGGAGTACTCCATAAAGTCTTTGTTGGCAATAACACACAGCTTTATGATTTTCTTTTTGTGTCTTGGGTTGTTTTTACTCAGGTAACCTTTGTAATACATATTCAGAACTGTAAATTTCTGATCTGACCCGAAGATGATTCTTTTAACCTTGTGGAACTCTTACTCCATGGTATCTCATGATATAAATCTGATTAATTTCAAAATTGCTTGCTCTTAAACAGTTTGCTGATTTTTGTTAAGGCAGAGTTCGAGGAAAACTCCATTCATGTGACAGAATATCGGAAAGATGGCATAACAAAGAATGGTCAAGGTTGCCCTTGGAGCTACGATTTGCTGTGCAGAATTGCAAATCCTATTATGCCTGAAACCTACGATGTTGGTTCAATTGAGTTTCTTCCTGCTTATGTTTCTAGGTCTGTCAGCACACTATCTATCCAATGGGTTTCAGCACACTAGCAAATGTCCTGACCTTGTATCTCTTCAGGCTTCTGCTACCATCAAGCTGTCATTCCATGATATAAGTGTAATTCAGTTCAAAGCAATATTAACTCACACACATGCTCAAGTCAACATGAGTGTCAAAACTCATTCATTAACCAAATGAGTGGGAGCATCACAAATAATTGTTATGTGTTGTTACCAGAGGGAATCAAACCCAACCATTCAAGCTGAGTGAACACCTGACCCACGAGGCTAGTAGGCATGTGTGTAGTGAAAGTGGTGTTTTACCTTTGGATTGTTTAGTTCCTCCTCCAGCCGACACTGCCACTCTAGCGACTGCAGCCACACGCCATGCCAGCGGTGCTCCAAGCCTGTTGCAGTGCTGCGCGGGGAGATGGGGGTGCAGTGCTCGTCATCTGTGTCAATGTCACCGTTGAAGCTCTCGTCATTGTCTATACGCTGACTCAGCTTGACCACCGCTGACACCACCTTCGACTGTGACTCGATGTCCCGTTGCAGAACCTGAAATAAGCAATGATTTAATCAAATCACAATTCAAAATTATAAACTGCCATATAGAAAGCTCTGACCTCAATCAGTGAGTGATATGAGTTTAAAGCCACCTCCAACAGTATTCTCGTCATATAACAGCATGACAGCTCCATGTATGAGGAGAGCCTGAGGAGATGCACTGCTTGGACGTTTACCACTTTGGTGCAACCCACAAGCATTGGTTGCTGCTGACAGATATAGAAACAATGAATGAGACTCAGGATTTGAACCCTGTCATAGGTTTCCGGCATACCCAAGGGAGGTAACCCTGCAGAGCAAGTTGTAGCACCTTGAATGACTTGGCAAACCATAACCCCTTATTCATACACTGACTGACTGACTGAGTTTGGTTTTACGCCGCTTTTAGCAATATTCCAGCAACATCACGGCCGGGGACACAAAATAGGCTTCACACATTGTACCCATGTGGGGAATGACTCTTCGCGTGGCAAAACCATTAGGCTACCCCCTCATTCATACAAAATTCAATGAAAGAAATAATCAAATGGAAAAACAATGAAGTTGTATTTCAGTATTCACATTTCTTGAGAAAAGCCAGAATGACATGCTGTAAATAGAATCAATAAATGTGTCAAGTCATTTTTCTGACAGATCCTTAACTATAGAGTAATATTGATATCATTTTACAATCGAATAGATTTTAAACTTGTAATATATATCATGCTAACTGCAGCATGTTGAAAAACAACCATGAATATGTTTTGTCAAGAAGGATCATCCAAGAATGACAATGCCCTCTACTACAAAGCTTCAACAGTATCATTACTTCAAAGAGGACCTATAAATCTCATAGCGACCCCTTCATCGTTTTGTTTGATCCTGAGCTTCTCCCTTTGTTAACAAATGCTTATTATACAACATAAGAATTTTCAACCAACTCACTGAGTTTCTCAATCAGGTAAAACCCTCAAATCTGTCTAGTTTGTAACAGACATTTGTCACGTCTGCAAACAGTTACTAATATACATTTCAACTGTCTTCTGCTTGGCATGTTTGCCTATATTAACATACCTATACCACAATGTATACAAAGCAAACAGAAGGTGTAGAATCCATTCCACATCTACGTAAGTCCTATGTCACAAAGTCCTAAACCAACAGCTCGCCATCTGACATATGCAACATCTTCTGATCCAAACTTTGTATCCAATCAAACCAGGCGGTTAATATTAAGGTGTAAATCCCTCTCAATCTTCACACAGGCAATAACTATGTTAGTAGTCCTCGATTCTTCTCTTCAAATCAATAAAGAATACTCGTCAACATTGGCCTCCGGTATTGCATGGCACACACAAAACTGAGGACAACACTTCGAAAATCATGACCAGTAAATATTTGCACATTGTAGCAGCCTAGTGGCCTCCCCTGGTGGTCACACATAGACGAGAGGTCTCTGTTAGGACAGGCAGGTTCCTCAGTTCACTTTCAAGGTTCTTGAATGTAATCAATGTTCTCTGATAGTGGAATCCCATTGTTAAATATGCCTTCAGAAAGAGGGAAATACCTAGACCATCAATAGTTATTGATCAGTCCACTTTGGCTCGTTCACTTACTGCAGATGTCAGCCATACCAGATGTAGAGATTTTAGCAAAATATGTCACGAGTTGACAAAAAATATACAAGAATCCTCACACCTGGGTAACGACCTTGACCTTGTCACCTTGATGCTAATCTGACATCAAGAGCTGTTATAAATCTTCACATTGTTGCATGTATCTATCAAATGTCTAGTTTGGAAGAACTACTTTCTTCAACCTGTGTCAAATTACCTGAGACATGTATCTGTCAGATGCTTAACATGACTTGCTCTCCATGGAAACTATTTTAATCTTCAAAACACTCACTCACGACTATGGACATATTCTAATGAATATCTTAGAGCATAAGTGTTTAACCACATACAAATATGATAATGGCTACATGCTAAACAAAGCAGGACCATATTTGTTTCCTCGTTCTTCCTGGTCCAGATTTGAATAAACTACTAACTCCAACGAAAGTTTCATTTAAACAAAATTTCATGAAAGTACAGTGTACCTATGGTTGAATGCACATTCCTATAAGCATGCTGATATGATATGGAGCACAACTACAAATAAACAAACGCACAAAGGCAAATGAACAGGACCTATCAACATCAACATGAGTCCAAAGTATGCTCACCGTCCTAAGCTACCTCTTGACATAAAGATGACTCCTGTATTGGTAACACTATTGCAGGAGAAGCACCACAAACATCCCAACTTGTTACAAGAGATTGCCATCCTACAGGAAGCATCACTTGACCTTGATGCATGACACTTGACGCTCAACAAGCCACAACACTAACCATGATAAATTTTCCATGTTGAGATATAATATATGATTATATAATTCCTGAACTGACATGCGTGGGTACCCAGGAAGGTTTCCTGTGACAGATGGGACTCTCACACAGACAGGTTCTGCACTACACTGTGTGGTTCATCCACATGACAAATCACTGAGCTCTTACGACTGGGATTCAGTGGGTGACACAAGCAGGTGCCATACAGGATATTTGCATTTGAAAGCTCAATTTTTTCCCTGCTTGGTGTTGAATTATTTGCATAATATCTTACACCTCATGATAATGTTATCTTTTTAGATAACATCTACTGTAATTGTAAAAATAACTTGATTGATTTCAGTACCCCTGGTCATTGTTTGTATGTTAACAATCATTTCAGAAACAATTAGTTTGCAAATATCATAAGATTTGTTTGTTGTTTAATGCCGCACTCAGCAATATTCCAGCTATATGGCGGTGGTCTGAAAATCGAATCTTGACCAGACATTCAAGTGATCAACAGCACAAGCATCGATCCATGCAACTGGGATTCGATGACACGTGTCAACCAAGTCAGCGAACCTGACCACCCAATCCCGTTAGTCGCCTCTTACAGGATGGGCTGCTGAAGATCAATTCTAACCCGGATCTTCACTGCTTGCAAATGTCATAAGAAAAATGAAAATAGTTGTACCTGGCAATAACATGAACAGATCATGTGATTGAGATGGGGAACAGAGCATGTGATAGAGATGGGGAACAGAGCATGTGATAGAGACAGGGAACAGTGAGTGATTGAGATAAGAACCAGATAGCATGACAAAGAGACAGAGAGTCTTAAGGAGTGTGATGGAGTCCGGGAACAGAGCATCAGATGAACATGGAAGAGAGAGTGGGATTGAGACAGGAAATAGTCGGTGGGAGCCATAGAATCTAATCAAGGAAGAGACACCAAAGACCCCCTTTTCCATTTGTAACTGAATCATTACAAAGCCTGTGTCCATAGAATGAATTGAAATATTATTTTCCTCCAATCAATTAAAGAATGGGTGGGAATTGATCACTGCAGTCCGTAGGAAGAACCTGTTTTGGTTAAACACTGTAACAACTCCTCATCACTGCAAACAATCCCAGCAATGTTTTCGTGGTTTTCGTTACATTTTTCGGTTAGTTCTGATTCCCTTTGTTCAGTAGTCTGTAATGAAAGACATCCCTGAGAAGACACATTTATGATCGAATGTCTGTATTGTTATTGGACAGAAAGACCCGTGCTTCGTTCACCTCACATGAATTACCCAAGTCTGAACACATCTGACATGGCAAAATATAGTTATGAGCACCAAATGTAATCTAGAAGCACACTCCCCCACAGGTAGCCAGGAGCATGGATTAATCCTGTGATCCATGCTAGTTACATCACAACGCCTGATTAAAGATGCTATCATGCAAAATCAATGGAATCCAATACACTACCATCAGTGTTATATTGGAGTTCCTGCAGTAAGTTGGGACAGAGTTTCAACCAATTCCAATTAGATAATTGTTTTAATCATTCCATCATAAATGATATTACCAACAACATCAAAGGAACAATTTTAATTTCTTACACATTTACACTTCCACCCTGAGCTGGGTTTTCTGATACTTCATGAATAGCCTCAAAAACACAAATGTTGAGGAGTGAGTGAGTGAGTTTACGCCGCTTTTAGCAATATTCCAGCAATATCACGGCGGGGGACGCCAGAAATGGGCTTCACACATTGTACCCAGTTGAGGATTGAACCTGGGTCTTCTATATAACAAGCCAACCCCTTAACCACACAGCCCTCCACCACACCATTGACTTCTCCTGTGCTGAGGAACAATTTCTCAATTAATCGTCATTTACCTAGAGAGATCTATATATTATTACACACATATATTTGATATCTGTAACAAACACTGTCATTATATACTGCATAGAAAACAGTTTCAATTGTAAGCTTTTAAACAAGAAATAGCTGGAATATTGCTGAGTGCGGCTTTAAACAACAAATAACAATAACTGAAACAAGAAACCCTTCACACAATAACAAAGCAGTTAATGCCATTAATGTATAAATCCATATTACAAAAAAAAAACATTCAAAAGGAAAGTTGATCAAGTTTTTGAAACATACAGAACACAAATTCAGGTGTGAAACACTTACAGTCTGCTTGTTCCAACAAAGAAGTACAGAGAGACTGATCTGTAACACCCACCCGTACACACTACAATCAACCAAGCTGCCTGTTACGTGCATTCAGGAATGAGGATCAAATTAATCTGTAGTCAAAGTGCACAACAGAGTGTCCCAAACACACCTGCTACCTGTGACTGTTCACGTAATTCACCTGTAACTTGTTCTCCTCAAACAACTGACAAGACAACGACATGACAAGTGTGTACTCTGTGTCATATATCTGGAATACTTACGTCTTGTAATACGTGATCCTGTTATCATGGCCCAGCTTATCTGTTATCATTATTGTTATCGAGAAATACGTGAGAGCTTGCACACGTTCAAATGGGTTATCTATTGATCAAGGAATTTTCCTCTCAAATATCACTTTTTTCCTGACTCATTGACATTCATGTTTTACATTTACATCAAAATAGCA